CGTACGTGTCGCGTACAGGAATACGTGTACGTGTGTACGGACAACCTGCATACACGTGCGCCGTGCTACCCAGAGTCTAGCATATACAAGTCTGAACTACGGGGTTCGGTCTATTGTTAATTAAGTGTTTGATCAATTGATTTATTTGTTTTCTATTATAAAAGAGGTTTAGTTCAACGAGATTGGATCCAGAGATAGAGAGCATCATGAGCAGTGGCTGTTCCTTAACCATTGAAGGGGGCGTCCGGCAATCTGTGTAATTTATGGCCCGACAATTCGCGGCATTCGATTCATTGGTTCTTTGTTCTTTTCTCTCATTGGCATCGGCCACGACGAGGAGGGTTCGGGAAATTAGTCCAGTTGGAGCTGACTGCGAGACAGCAGATGATCGGCGACTATGGGCAGCAGGCACCCTTGCTCTCTCTCTATCCAGTTGCAGTTCCTCATGCACAATGTAAGCCCTCCTCCTCCCTCCTACCCCGAAATCCCCCACAACTCGGTATTCTCCCTCTCATCACATTCATGTAGGTCCTGGTATGTTTTTTGCCGTGGTTTTCCTCCTACTCTTTGGGTGGCGTTGCCATCTGCAGGCGCTACCTACACCTCCTTCTCCCATCAGATGCATTTTTCTCCTGTATGGTTCTTGTGTTGTTCTTCGTACGTCACTTTGGCTGGTATTTTGCCTTCCATGTATATGTGGGTTCTTCTGCGGTGTGGCCATGGCCACATTCCCTTCTTCTCTTCCTGATATGTCCTGCATTTCCCAGTTGCCATCCGTGTCCTTTTGCTTGCCTCCACAGCATTTACGTTTTTTTGGTTTCAGAGCTGAGTTTTTTCCTTGCTCTTTTCTTTTCCCTGTGCTCTGCAGATACTGGCCGCAAACGAAGCAGGGAAGACTATCCATCAGAAGGAAGTTCCAAGCGCCCACGCGGAGATGATAACCGTATGGTAAGCACCCTTGCCCCTCGTGAGAGCGCATCGCCCTTGCCCCTCGCGAGAGCATCACCCTTGCCCCTCGCGAGAGCATCACCCTTGCCCCTCGCGAGAGCATCACCCTTACGGGCCTTACCCCTTGTGAGAGCAGTACCCCTTTTTCCCATTCAGGGAGAAGGAAACAAAATAGACCTACCAAAAGCACATTCTGAGAATGCTGAATCCTGACCATAAGGCCATGAATGTGCAAGCAGCAATAACTACTGTCTTCACCCGAATAGAATGGCCAGTCATTATCACTGTATCTAGACAGAAGGTTGCCCCAAGTACAGCTATAATGGCTGGGTGTTCTAGTCGAGTGAAGACGGTAGTAAGTTCCAAGTAGTGAGTTGCGTTTAATATCAGACATGCCAGTGCTGTGCGTTTCCTCCAATCAAACTGCTTGGAGCAAATCGATTTCCTTTCCCATTTGTCTCTTATTTTGCGACAAATTGTTTCTGAAATGTGCTACATCAAAAAATCTAGACAGAAGGTTGCCCCAAGTACAGCTATAATGGCTGGGTGTTCTAGTCGGGTGAAGACGGTAGTATGTTCCAAGTAGCGAGTTGCATTTAATATCAGACATGCCAGTGCTGTGCGTTTCCTCCAATCAAACTGCTTGGAGCAAATCGATTTCCTTTCCCATTTGTCTCTGATTTTGCCACAAATTGTTTCTGAAATGTGCTACATCAATGTGTGGCAGGGGAGGTATGCAGCTCATTGACCTTGCACAGTGAGAGGAAGGCAGGTAGGATGCGAGGGAAAAGATCAGGGTTGAGGGAGAGAAGCAATGGAGAGAACTGAAGAGAACAAGAGAGAAATGAAAGCGGAAACGAGTCCAAACGACCTGATTTTTTATTATTATTATTTGTGTGTGTGTGTGTGTGTGTGTCTGTGTGTGAACACGAATGTGCGTGTGTTTGTGAACGCGCATGTGTGTGTGTGTGTGTGTGTGTGTGTGTGTGTGTGTGTGTGTGTGTGTGTGAACATGCATGCATATGTGTCTGTGTGCATGCACGCTCATTCAGAGGTAACAAATTATGCTGGCTTTCCTTTACGCTGTATTCTTTGCAGGCTTTGGGGTAGTAAATAGTAGGGCAAATTCGGGGGAGAAGCCGTGCAGGCTTTCCTTAAACCATCCACTTTACAATCAAAGTTGCTTTACTGCTACCCATGTAAAGATAACACATGCACCCGCCCTTGAACCGCTTTTTCCATTCTGCCTGTGTTCTGTGGCTGTGCAGGGGAGAAACCCAAGGTTTAGGGAGAGAGGCGATTCAGATGATGAGGACAGCATGAGACATTGACTATCTTAGGCGGCAGCGGCAAATAGATTAGCAACCATTCATTCTCGAGAAAGTTACACAGCAGATGTGTGCATGGAGAGAGAGAGAGAGAGAGAGAGGGAGAGAGAGAGAGATAGATAGATAGATAGATAGATAGAGAGAGAGAGAGAGAGAGAGAGAGAGAGAGAGAGAGAGAGAGAGAGAGAGAGAGAGGTGGTTCCCAGCAGGAAGATTGAGCAGAGGGAGCATGGAGCAAGAACAGAAATGTTGATTAATCAATGGTATTGACATGGAAGACTCTTGTGTTGATTGGCGACAGCAGTTGGTTCATTGATGATGGTATTGGCATGGAAGATGCACTGATATACCCATGAAGACGGGGGGTTGACTTCTCTCTGCTTTTGTTCTGGTCATCTCCTTCAGACCAGGTTTGCTCCAATACCCCATTTCCTCATTTATTCCACTGGGTAGTGCTGTTACGAAGAACACAAACCTCTCTTTGTAAAAAGTTGAGTAGAACTTTTTTGAAGGGTGGATGTCAACACGGTGAACATCAGCACTCTCAGACAGATCATCCTTACGCGTTATGAGGGCCAGTCTCTGCCATCACACTCGTCAGCGAAGCGTTATGATGCAGGTTATCTGACACTGTTCCTTGCTAGAACCCCCAGGTAGTTGCAGAGGGTTCATTTTTTCCTACAGGGCGTTAGCAGCTAGCCACATACTCTTGAGTTCCTGATCCCATAGGCCCTCCTTCCACATCCAGAACTGAGTGATTGGATGTTTTGGTCATTCTCCATCCAGCATAGGAGTGGTTGCAGTTTCAACGTCTTTGACGAGGTTCTGGTGTCTGCGCTGTGTTCTCTTATTGGCGTCCCCTTCTTCTTTTGCTCATCCTCCAACACGATTCATGTCAGATATAAATATCGACGTTCATCTTCGCCGGGGACTGGGGTCAATGACGTGGAACTCCTGACTTTGAAAGTGGCAGCTGGCTGGACAGAGCTGGGAAGCTGTGGTAGGGAAAGGCTCCTTACTTCGCAGTTATCACACACAGTCCTCATCTTCTAGGTTCCTTGTTGTCTTGCTTCACGGATTTCACGGCTCTAGGGTTGCCGTCTCCATGTGTGCAGAGGGAATGTTTCTGTTTCTCAATTGTTCCCGCTTCGGAATATTCTCTTTCGTTGTTGTTTTTTTGTGTTTGTGTCTTGTGGTGCTTTGGACTTCACAGAGAGTCCTTTTGTGCAGTCCTGTGCACATAGTTCCAAGGCTGGCGCATCTGGGACAGCTATGGAAGTTTTGAAGTTTTGCAAGAGAGTCGGTCGCTTTCCCAGTTGCGCTGGCCACTGCCAAAGTCGAATCTGACTATGTGATGCTCTGCAGAACATTTACACTACACAACAGTTAAGCTGGAAGGTGTGAAACATCAAGCTTAAACCAGAAGGGTAAACCCTGACCAGTCAGGAGGCATTATGTCGTTAAACTAGTCGATTGGCTAAACCGGCATTCTGATTACCAGCCTGCAGCGGCTGGTGGTGGTTTGTTTTGGCTTTTGTCTTGGGAGTCCAGGACGGAGATTGTTGCCTCGTGAAGGGTGGAAATTCGTGTACTTTGAAAAACTATACAAGTGTGGGATATCCTTCAAATGAAAGGTAAGGACTTGGAAAGTGAGAGTGATGTCAGCTGTTTGGAGTTTGCTGCAAATGGGAGGTTCCACTGTTCCGCAATTGCTTGATCTTCTCAGCACTTGCAATTCGTGAAGTTGCGATCGCTGCTGCTTTTTTTTTTTTTTTTTGTCTTTTCCCTGCCGTTCTTCTCTTCCCCCTTCCAGTATAGGCACATTTTATGGGTGTGTTGGTTCCGGCTTTCTTAATCCTCGCTGGAAAGGTGCCTCGGGGCATACTTCGCTACGAATTTCATGGATGTATCTGACTCAGACACGATGGGAGAAATGCTTCGTCGAATCGTCGGTGATTTTTCGGCGTAGTTTTGTAAGCTACCTCTGCTGTTTCCTTTGCTCTGGGAAAAAATTGTTGGGAGTCTGGGAGAATCACATGCTGCAAAAAGCAGATCCTCATCTTTTCACCGAAGGAGCTGAGGATGCACTTTTCTTTTCAGATGTGTGGAACAATCTATAAAAAATCACAGGCATACACGTTACCCGTGTGTGTGGGGTTGGAGGGCCTTAGAAATGTTCTGCTTCTTGTCTCTCGCCTTTACATTGAAGAATTTGGGGTGCCCTTTTCTTTTCAGATTTCTGGGAAAAATGATTAGAAATCAGACACTACAAGGTTGATTAGGCACACACTTTACCTGTGCGTGTGTGGATGGATGTCCTGTGTTCTGCTTGTCGCCGTTTATATCGACGGATAATAGCGCTCTCTGCCAATGGCACTGCACTCGAGTCCCAAGGCGTTTTCCTCTCTGCAGGCAGTTCCTCTGTATCTGGTTGTGTAATAAAAACCTGTGCAATGCCGAGGCCGGCAAGGCTGCAACAAGAATGCCATGAAAGCAACCGCTGCTGATCTTTTATTCTTTCCAAAATGAGAGGTCAGGGTCCATGCAGTCTACGCTGAAAGAAAATTACTGCTGCCGATAGAAAATTACTGCCGCTGACAGAAAATTACTGCTGCTGACAGAAAGTACTGCCGCTGACAGAAAATTACTGCCGCTGACATAAAATTACTGCCGCTGACAGAAAATTACTGCTTCTGACAGAAAATTACTGCTTCTGACAGAAAATCACGGTCGCTGACAGAAAATTACCGCTGCTGTCAGAAAATTACTGCGGCTGAAAGAAAATTACTGCCACTGAGTCGCAGACAGAAATTACTGCTGCTGATCTTCCCTCTGCATTGACCAATCAGAGAGTATAGAGATGGAGTCGGATGAACACTGCTCAATTGAGGATGTGCACTGCGGTGGGATGTGCCAAGTATTTGGGCGGCTGCAAACGTGTCATTTGGGGAATAACATGGAAGCTTCTCTTTTGGGACGGAGAGTGATAGGCATTGGGAGGAAGTGCCTTTTCCAGTCAAAATCTAACAGAGGCTGGAGTCCTTACAGTCTTAAGAACAAGGGCAGTCCAGCTAGTCCACTGGCAGATGAAAGGAACCCACAGTTCTGCAGTAACTGGTCGACCCTGTGGTGATGTCACATGCACAGGACCGATTGACCACTTTTTCCAACCTTCCTGCACTACGACTACCATTTGACATTAAACCACACCCAAGCCGTACGTTCACGAACTGGAAAAATTAATCGCCCTGGCCTGCTCAGCTTGAAACATCACGCTTACCGGGTCACATCAACTTGATTGAAAAATTCATTCGTTTCGGTGCAAATGTTTCTGGTGGGCCAAACCATTTTTGTTTTTGAACTCCATATTGTCTGGAGTGTATGGGCATGCTCATGGCAATGGCTGCACTGAGAATGCTCAGGTAGGTCGTCCACGTCTTCGTCCACCTCATCCTTACAATGTATATCCTCTCTGTCATCAAGGACAGACTGATTGTTGAGCCTTTTCTTACCCTTTCCTATGCTTTCATCTGCATTCCGCACTCCCTTTGTCTTCCTTTGCCTTGTCTTCTCTCTCTCTCTCTCTCTCTCTCTCTCTCTCTCTCTCTCTCTCTCTCTCTCTCTCTCTCTCTCTCTCCTCTGTGTTTATCCCGTTCACCCTTACTCTGCCTCTTTCTCACAGCATACAAGTGCGCCGTTACGGCACACAGGGATGCGGGACGCTCGCACTGAACTCATCAACGTGCCAAGCCTTGTACGTTAGAGCCACAGTAAAGAGCGAGCTAAAAGAAAAATGTTAAAAAAGGATGGTTTCAGTGTGCTCTTCATGCTTGTGTTGCTTTTTTATTGTTATCTTTTGCAAAGTGCGCCTTGTAGTTCATAGATATGTCACAATGTAAATATATTGTCAAACAAAACTGCCCAGCAATCCATAGGAAGAGAGGGAGAAGAGGACAACAATCGAGGAGCTGTGACAGACTGTTTTGTGTGAGTTTCACCGACTCGTCAGAAGGCTGAACCGTACTTTCTGTATGTGTATTTCTGATGTGGAGTAACCTTGGTAACATCTCTGATTATTTTTCACAATTTTTTGTTGCTGTAAAGTAAGAGTTAAAAATTGCCAAAGGTGGGGATGTCCGGATTTTGGACACCACTCAGTACCCTTTTGGGCCTGGTAGGCCGAAGCAGTGCCCCCTTACTGTGCATTGGCTCAGTTGAACTGGCAGTGTTCTTTCTCAAACTTCCTGACGGCATGTTCACAGGTACAGTCATCCATTGCTGTCCAAATGTGAGGATCTCTCTCTCTCTCTCTCTCTCTCTCTCTCTCTCTCTCTCTCTCTCTCTC